GTCATTTGTTCCTAGTTAACACCAACTCCAAGGACAACCAGTTGCTGCAGGCTGTCCAGATGTAGAGGAGAAGTGCATATTTTTTTGAAACATAAAATTGTACCAGGGGGGAATAGTAAAAAAAAAGTTCACAATATTAAGATGACATTTGTTTATGTTTATAGAAACAGGTGAGAGTGAGGTGGGGCAGTGCAGTGGTTAAAAAAAGTGATGTGATGGAAGAATCAGGTCTGACTTTTAGTTAAGCTGTTTTCAAACTGTACCCTTAGGAATATCATGACTTCACAGCCTTCACTCCCATCTACACTTGGCTATTAAAGACATTTACTGTAAAGGGCAGTAGATATTTATTGAGATAATAACAAAAACTATTACAGTTACACTTTTAACTTCAGAAAGGTCAGATCAAAGCCAAATGATAAAAATCAGACCAACTCCTTTTCAGCACCAGTTATGAACACAGACCTTTCCATTACACTGCTGTTGGTGTTGACAGTATAGTTCTGTTGCCATTTGTATGAAAGACTTCACTTTACACCCAGACTCACAAATAAATCTTCTTGTTCAGTATTGTATTTCTTTGCCACTTTTGCAGCAAAACAGTATTTGACCAGCACTTAAGATCTCTTGACAACGGATCAGCTCATGAGAGTGCAAATTATTTCTGGTAAAGAGGTCCTCCACTTGATCAGCCACATGCCATTTCTCTCTCTCTTCTGTTTAATAGAAGGCTATTGAGAAGATGCAGTGGCATCTTCTCTCACCTCGGATATGCTCCCAGTATTAGTCTGCCACTAATAATAAAAAAATAAGCTGCCAGCTTTCCAAAGGATCTGTGTCCAGACTGGTAACTATTTTTGTCTCTTCTTTTTTGAGTGATTCAATATACTTAAGCACAATAAAAAAAACCAGCATGACTTATGACTATAATGTAAACTCATCAGAGGGAGTCAAAATGATCTCACTTAAAAAGAAGAAAACAATTTCTTAGAAACAAAAGCAAGAAGCACATAGTGATCAGATTGTCATTAACAATAATAATGATAATCATCATGTGCTGTCAAGTCAATTCTTTGAAATAAAAAGGGGAAAAGGATTGCAGTCTAAACCCTATCTCTTGTACTGTTCTCAGTAGCATTTATGGTGGCCCTTTTCAGAGTTTTTCGGGTATGAAGACAATGACATTGATATAAGCAGGGAGTAGAACTGTTAATTTCAGATACTTACAAAAATCAGAACAGCCAAATACAAGACAACAAAATTGCCAGTCTGGATTTACGCATTTATAGAAATGTATGATTGAATAAGCAGTGACAAAAAGATCTATCACTTGTGGGGGGGAAGCTGCTATGGAACTACTACATATTTCTGAGAGGAGCAGCATTAAGCTATATACAACACTCAAATCTCAACATGAAATGTCACAGTGCAAAATACTATTGTAAATCCTTTTTTGCCCTAAGTGAAATTTACTACAGACCCTTGCAATTTGTTACGTATTAATTTTTCTCCCTAAGGAGGCCAGTAACAATGTCAGAAACAAAAGCAAGAAAACAATTTACTCTCACAACATATTTCACCTGACTTGTTCAAAATATTCCTTCTCATTTTCCATTCTAACACATTATTTGTACTGTGTCCTACTGTATAAAACATGACAAGAATATATTATAAAATACTACAGTATTCATAATAACCAAGTTTGAAGTTGCTGCTGTAAAATACTTAAAACTGTCAAAGAAATGCAAGACGTTAGACTAGAGAGAAATGTCTGACTTTCATAGTACAGGAACTGCTGTCATGACGAAAATTAAAGAGCGTCTGGATTTCTGTCTACGGTAATGCCCAAATTATATGAATAACTTTGAGAAGTGGAACACTTCATGATCATTTCCCACCTCTCAGATATAACTACATGTATCTGAATTCCTTAACTGGAATCCAAATATGGGGGTATGAAAACAGTGAACATAAAGGAGGAGGGAGGTTTGTGTTCCACCTCAAAATGCCCTATAATGCCTCCTAAATTCATATAATTTACAGGGGCAGGGAGATTCAGAACTAGAGATGGGGGTATTCATATTCATATACGAATATCCCTTGCACAGCTGGCATTAAAGAGGGTCCAGCCCCACACCTGCGATCCGCTCGCTACTCCTGGCAGGAAGCGGGGGGTCAAAGAGTGGTGAGTGGATCGCACACTGGGGAGCCATTGGTAGAATTGCGCTGTCTGCACTGGATCAGTGAATGGACCGTCCAGCCCCATGTGGATGGACCCTCGTTAATGTCCCTTGTGCAGGGATTGTATACACATATGAATACTCCCATCTCTATTCAGAACTGTTGAAGAAGTGTAAACAGAATCTGCTTCTGGCCACAAGTGTCACCTTTATTCCTGGCTCTCACTTTTATTTTATTGTGCCAAATACAGAAAGTGGAAATTGTACTGGAATGTTAAATATATCGGCCTGAATTTTGTCGGTAATTTACACATGTGTAAGTTACATTATATCACTGACTGCAGTGAATTTCCACTAACACAGTGCTGACTGCATTATTGAGTGTGTGCCTGTTGTGCAATCAGGGAAATGCCTTGCAATGTGGTTGGCACCTGCTTCATTAGAGACAATTCACTACGATGGGTTGTGCAATTTAATGTACACATGCCTAAATCACCAATAGGATTCTGGATATTATTTATGTCTACTGAATCCTCTTCAGTGCCACTTTCCTGTTAGATCCACCAGCAATTTAGTGCTGGCTTTTTCCATTCAACATGCCATAGCAACCCTCTCCCCACCACCCGTTTGTTATTCCTATGTGCATGTTCAACAGAGAACCAAAGTCAGGATTTGGGGCAGGTGTTTTTCTATATTTGCATTTGCCACTTAAGCGCATGCTGAAACCATCGCAGGCATAAATCTAAAAATGTTTTGTGTCAAATGGCCTTTTGCTTATAATCAATGAAAATCCCCCCAAAATACTATATTATGGTAGAAGAGTCATGTAACACTTTGCACCTCATCAATTATCTTTGCTGCCAACGATGTGGATCTGGGGCCAATGTCAGCTCTTTGCTATGACTTGTCCATACTGCTGAGTGCTTATATGCTACCTGCCAATCAGTGAAAAGGAAAAAAAGCAAGGTAATACTAATAAGTGCAAAAAACAAACAGAACAGAACAGAAGGAAAGGAAAGGAAAGCATATGCTTTGTTGGAGATAACTTGAAAAGCAATTATTATGGCCTAATAAACTAAATTGTTCTGTTTGCATGGGTTTTCAACAGGTGGGTTGTAGTAAAGTAATACTTGCAATAAGCCATTTCCTAGCAGTGCTGCAAGATGAGGATTTTATTCTGCAATATGCAAGTGTCTACTTAACAAAATTTTACAGGGATGCGGATGACACAATCCTCCATTTGGAGCCCTCCTGTGTTTTCTTACTGCTTCTTTTATATATATATTCACAATTTTCATTCTTTACTTAATACAAAATAGGACACGGCATTCACAGCTATGTGTTCCTCCTTGCTCCAGTCTGAATGGACAGAACATTTTGGTAGATAAAAGTGCAACACTCTGCTCCTTGCCAGGAATTGTGTACTTTCACAAAGTAAGCAACTCTCTCAAAGTGGGATGATTGCTGCTTTCTTTAAGAATCTGAAGCACTGGATGGGCTGTTCCTCAAACCATCACCCAGTTCCTCTGTGCTTCCTATCTACAAGTGCTTTTTTTTTTCTTTTCTTTCACCTGCCTTATCTATCCTTCTCTTGCTATTTCATTCTCTTTAACCAGAAGGAGGATTTTAGTGAGGATTCTTTCCATGCCCATAATTTCCACTGATCTGTGACTTCCTCCCTCCCTCCCTCCCTCCCTCTCTAGTGACTTCTTTCTTATTGAACCTCCTTCTTGAGAGGAGTTAAAATCTGGGTGCTTTAAGGAGTTACCTTCATCTACTGTTAGAATAGTAACATCTTATTTGTCACCGCTCAGAAACTGGAACCAGAAATAAAAGAAAGACTGAAGGAGTAATTGTTCTTGGTTGTGATATCTACCAGCATAAAAAGGATTTGTATTGATAGAGTTGCAGGGTACTGTTGTTTAATGAGAATTCCAGTGTACTAAGAGTTAGTAGTAAGGTTAGAGTTGAGGGAAAACTATAATATACATGTCCTGTATTTCTGAAGCTTCCTGCGAAATCTAAAGCTCCTTCTAAGCTACTGACAACAAAAGTACAATGTACTGATGACAATGTTCTTGTTGTCATGTTTCACAAAAAAACAACATGGGACATTTTTGTCCAAATCCATTATACTGACTTGGGTATCTGAAGTATCTGAATAGCAAAATTCAACTCTGTGAAAAGCTTTCCTCTTCTTATATACAATCAGAGCTTGTCACCATTGTTTTGCATACTTTTTGGCCTAATTGCTTTTAGCCTGTATGTGTGCACTAACAGTAATAACTATACAACTGTAGGCAAATGTCTGAAACAGAGCAAGATTTTTCAGAATTCTTCTGGTGACAGCTCTGCAGAATGCCTACATTGCAGGATAAGTTCTGCATGATTCTGCAATAAAATATGTCCGCAGGGGACAAAAACACACACCAGTCCTAGTATTTGAGGATTAAGTAACATAAGAATTATCTGAGCACATAATGAAATGGGGGAGACAGCCATCGAGATACTTGGCCCTTAAATATTCACTAATTTTGGTACTGCATGACTTTCTCAAGTTGCAGAGGATAAAGAGAAAAGTATAGCTTGTGTTGGAAAGAACCAACGAAACACAAGTTTTGTTGGCACACATATCAGCCACCCAGGCTACTTATCTCCCCATCAATTGCTCTGCTTTTCAGGGGATAAACAACCTAATGCAAGTCAAATATTAGTATCCTAAAGATGTGTTCCATTTGGCCAGATCATTTTTATTTGAATACATTCTGTTACAGTTTTTACCGAAAATGAACAAACAGCTATAATGAACCATTTGATTACCTTGATAACACTTTCTCCAGGCCTCATGTCTGTGTAAATCTTGACATTATATGATATGTTGGAGAAAGTTGGAGAGTTATCATTTGCATCAATCACAACAATATTGACTGTGACTGGCAGGCTTTCTTGTACTCCATCAGAAGCTGTCATCTTCAAAATAAAAAAGATAACATGAATAAATTGTTAAATAAATAAATTGAATCTAGTGAACACAATAATTCGAACAAGATCAAAGGGTTTTCAATTTTTTCTTTCTTATATATTGTTCTCTTGCTCGCTCATATGCAGACAGGAAAAAAAAAACGAAAGGAATTTAGCTACTTTAGAAAAGTTAGAAACCAGAAGAGTGGCTAAGCTCCATGAAAGCCAAAATATATTAGGGGATTGTGAGTCTCTGTTTATTAAAGAGCTACTGTACTTCTCAAAATAAAAAAAGGTACCAGTCCCCTAATCCCTTGTGGCTCCCATAGAGTTTAGCCATTCCCACCCATTTCTTTTACTTTGAGGCAAATGGTGGCTCCATATTCTGATATGCAAGTCTGAGTACTGAAACTATACTGAGGATGTTGATTCTTTGCCTACAGCTATCATAATTCTGGCTGTGGGAATTCCTAATGATTCCTAACGCATTCTGGGAGGTGTAGTAAAAAATATGAAAGTTCCATGCCTAGAAAACAATCACTAATGGACTTGCTTTCAAAGTACATCCGAGAAAACCAAAAAGGAAATCTTTCATTACAGAACTATCTTTTTTGCTTCTTTGTACCTCTTCAAATAACATGGGTCGAATCCAAACTAAATTAACTGCATTTAGCTGTCATTTAAACACAGCAGTAACTCTATTTAAATCCCACAGATTTTACTGCAGACATGGGTACCATGGCATTACCTTCCTAAGAGAGCAAGGAGTGGCTGCAGTTCACGGTAGCAACTGCTAAGGCATTGACAGGCAGTACAGTTAAGACTTCACTAGAAGCAAAGTTTTCTGAAGTGGCAGAACTCATTTGATAGTTCTAACATATGCCTGCCTCACTCAACATTTTTTTTCAAATTAGCTTGCTTTTGTTTTATGATTAATCATCAGAAGGTAAACACAGTCTTCATTTCAAAGTCTAATTGTGCTTTAAAAGAACCATGAAACTGGAGGGGAAATGATGAAATAGCAGGATATATGCATTTCCCCTAATGTGTGATTTTGATCCTCAGCTATAAATCTGGTTTGTCCTGTGTTATGTAATATGTAATCAGTGAACTAAAGAGAAAGCAGGAAAAAAACCCAGAAAATCCTGACCACTAACTTAACTAACATACGTGTCAGATATTCAACATTATTACATGCAAGCCAGTAGCCTCTCAAACAATAGCAGATAGTGTTCATTTGATTAGATCAATTAATTTCCATACAGGAGAAAAAAAGATGAAAGGGTATATAATATGTAGAAGATGTGAAGTTTGACAATCACCTAAACTCTTTCCACAAGAAGATGTCTCCTGAGGGGAAACAAGATCTCAGAAGTACAGTGGACCCTCTACTTAAGGAATTAATCCGTATTGGAATGGTGGCTGCAAGTCGAAAAGTCTGTAAGTCGAATCTCTATTGACCTACAATGCACTGAAAACTGATTAATCCCATAACCAGTGGTTTTTATTCTATTTTTATTCCATTTTGGTTTTTTTCTGGTCTGTTAGTCGATTCTCTGGCTGCAAGTCGAATCTAAATTTTGCAGCCAGAGAAGTCTGTAACTCGAAAAGTCTGTAAGTCGAGCCGTCTGTAGACAAGATCTCAGAAGTACTCTTGAATCTTAACTCTTAGCAAGAAGGGCAATAAAAACCACAAATGGTACAGAGAACATGCCTTATGAGGAAAGGCTGAAGTATCTGAGAGTGTTTATCATGGACAAGATAAAAGGGACACTATAACTTTCTTCAAAGGATTGTCACACAGAAGAGAGCAAAGTTACCATCTTAACTAGCCAGCATGGCTGTGAGCAGCTGAGGCTGTAATGAATCCAAACCAACACTCATCCTAAAGATGTTGGCAATTACTTAGGACTATCCTCACCCTGGCGTAATTTTGTGCTGGCGTAGTGATTGTGAGTTTGAGCTAAGAGGGGCTTGCAACTAGTGTCAAATTAACAAACAACTATAACACTCCTTTCCCTTCTCCATCCCTTCTTTCGGTTTCTACCAGCTGATCTCAGTCAGCACAGCAGCTGTGCTGGTAAATTCAGTCATGCCAGCAGATCTGGAACGAGCTATCACAAGGGGGTTGTGCTGATACATGGGCAGCTGTGCCAGCAGAAGGTCAGTTGTGCTGGCACATGAGGGTTCTGTTCTTTCCAAATCCACTACAGCTGGTACATCTTTCAGCTTGGATTTTACTGTTAATCTCTGGTTTCCAGAGGGCAAAACTAGATGTAGTAGTTTACAGGACAGCAGCCTGGACTGAGGCGCTTGGCTAAATTCTTGAAATAGTAATAGTATTTTGATACGAAAACCAATTAACAGAGATTGCCACCATGAGATTACAATAAAATGATCAGTGGTTTTACCAGTGCCACTCTCACTGCAGTGAGTTTCCATGACTAAGCAAGGATTTGAAGCCAGGTTTCCTAAGCCCTAGTCCATCATTCTGTCTACTACAGTATACCATATTGGATATCTCTAGATAGGTTAGTAACATAATGTAAATTTAAATATCAATTTAAAATTAATGTATAACACCCACTTTCAATGTAAACATAGTTTAATTAGAATTTTTTAAAAGCTTATTAACAATTAATTCAATGTGTGACCATTTCCCAGTAACTTTTTGATTTTTCCCAATGATCTAAGGGTGCCTGTATTATCACCTGCTAGAAGTCTTGAAGCAGATGGTGAATAGCCATCTAGTGAGGAAATTCTCTAGCCTGGAAGAGGCTGGCAGGGCCTCTTCCAAATCTGATTCTGTAAAACAGCTTTCTTCAAATATTTGCTGATCCCAAATCTAAAATTAAAATATATGTAAACTTCCAACAAAGCATTGCTTACCGAGAAGGTGTATAACTGTTGGAGCTCCCTGTCAACTGGCTGAAGTAATGTGAGGTAGCGGATTATGCCAGTCTGAGTCACACTGAAAAATGTATTGTAGTCATTTAGAAAAAGATGGAGCAGGGGGTCCTTTGTCTTTAAAGAGAAGCAAAGAGCAAAATTATTACATTCACAAAGGTAACAGTAACAACACACACATAAGCTGTCTTAATGATAGCACTAAAGATCTGGACTGACAATGAAATTGGAGGGAAAATGTAATAAACCTAAATTGATGGAATTAGTATGTCAGCTTGATTTGGAGGGAGATACTGAGGAGGCAGGCTTGATTCCCACCTCGTCATTTCCCCTTTAAACAAAAATGCTTCAGGGGAAAAAAAACATTTTTCTCCAAAATAATTTATAATTGTCTCTTGGCAATTAGCAGCAAACTTTAAAAGCAATAAAAGGGCAAAGGCTCCAGCCACCTGCCACATGAACAACAAAAAAGCCCATGGCAAAAGAATTATATTGTTTGCTGATAACATGTTTGCTGCAAAGACACTTATTACAATATGGGTTTTAATGCACCAATGGAAAGATGATAATGGGTTATTCAAAGCATCTGCTGCCAGTGAAGGTCTTGAAGAAGCTGCCAGGCTGCTGAATGCAAAAGGGATGCACAAAAGCTCTGATATGTTGGCAACTGATGTGGGGCTTTTGCTTGTGCTCTATGAAACAAAGGAGTGAGGCATCTCCTTTTGTGCCACAAAGAAAGCCATTCGCCAAGATGCGAAGAGAAGGATCTTTTGTGTTCTTTATCAAAAGAAAATAACCCTTTTCACCTGGAGAAAGAGCATTACCTTGGGATTCCCCCCCCCAAAAAATGATCTCTCTGTCAAAGCATACTCCACATTTTAATTCAAACTATTTTCTTAAATACAAACAGTTGCCATAGAACTAAAACTGCTGGGAAGACTCGTAAGCAAGCAAACTCCCCAAATCATAATATACTCTAAAATTAAACTTTTCAGTACCACAGTCAAAGGTAATAGAAAAAAAATCACTAAGCAGATGAGGACAAATCAAGTAGTGGTGGTGTGTGGGTCTCTTCACAACCGCAAAACGTAAACTCTGCTGAACTACTTTTTCTGCAAGGCCACTGCAAAACGTTCTGTGACAACTGAAAGCCAGAATGCTCCTGGGCAGCAAACCTACTGCCATAGAGCAATAATTAATCATCATCATCATCATCATCCCACAACTGTCAGACAGAAAACTTTACCATCAGGACTTCCCCTTTCCAAAAGTATTAATATGTTTTTCTGCCTCTGCAGGTAATTACATTTATTTTCTAAGCAATTTCCACCCACATGTACTATAATTTTTTTTTTCAGACAGTGGTTCATGTAATACCTTTTCTTTTCACTCATTAGAAATGTGAGGACAGAAATACTTCAAAACAAAGCACCTGCAGTCATGCATGCTCCAGCAGGCATAAGAATACCACTGCAACACTTTTGAATGGAAACAGCAAACGAGAGAAAGCGTTAAAGCTAATTTTTTTTGCAAATGATGTAGGAAGATTTTACATTGGTTCTCTTTCACATTCAGCAGTATGTCCAGTGCCAAGGAAAGCACTGCAATATGCACACTTGAAGTGGAACAAAGGCTGAAAGTTCTGCAATACGCAAAAAATAGTTGGTGGGGTGTTTTTTTTAATGTGATGCAGACAAAAAGCCTGAGTGGTTCATGCCTCTTTGTCAGCAATATTTCTCGGCGTCAGATGAAAGATGGAAAGGAACCACACAAAAGGATAAAGGAATTTGTTCATTCATGCTTCGTCTTGCCTCAAACCCAAAAGCATTCACATGGCTAAACCCAATAGTTAGTTCCAGGTTGAGTAGACCCACTGAATAAATGTGTCTTGTTGTGTCACCATTTATGTGATTCAATAGGTCTCATTAAATTGGGACTAATTATTGGATTTCGACCACTACGAGAAAAGAAGGAGAAAAAATGTGTGTGATTACTCAAGGATAAATCTTACTATGTTCGATATGGTTTAATCACTAGGACATGTGCTACAAATATAGCCCAAATTTAGATGGGTTTTTAAAATTCACCACGGAGGGAAATGAAAGATTATAACATTGAATTACTGAACGTAGGGAACACACAGAAGTACATAAGATACAATACCCATTTTACAAGCAGTTTGTAAGTGGTAGTTTTTGGAACAAGCAACTATACCTACATAGTTTTCGACATGCTTATTGGATACCATAATACAATTTGGTAGGCATAGTTTTGTGTTTGAGTTTCAACATATACAGATTTCCAGCAAGGAAAATAACATGTTCTCATATTCTTTGAGATTTGGATTCACACAGGATGAAAATACGAATAAAAGTGAACTCAAGGAGAAGGAATTAGTACACCAAGACAAACACCTAAAAATACCTACAGGACTGGCACCTGGTAGAATCTAAAAAACAAACACAAATAAAATAAGTAAAAAACAGAAGCCTGTATAATGCTTGGAATCCTCATATAATTTATCAGTCAAAAATATCATTAAAACAAGGGATTAGCAAATTATCAGAAAACTTCACTATTGGGATCTTCCAAATATTAACTAAGGGTGTGATTACACGGCAGGGAAAATGTGAACAGATCTGCTGTGAAGTCACAAGCAGGAAGGTGGGTTTCCCTGGGTGAATTCATTTTAGCTGATCACATAGAAGTCAACTGTGAGAAAGGAAGAAATTGGCAAATCAGGCTTGTTTGCAGTTTGTTAAAGTAAATTCTGCTGTGATTTTTCCGAATTGCAAAAGCCATGGCTATAGCAGAGCTGTCTTAATAAACTGCAAAGAAGTGCTGATTGGCAATTTCCTCCTCACTCTCTGCTGACTCCTTACTTTTTTCGTCCCTTTGGTCTCCTCAGTGCCACCAACTTGTTTTTTAAAAAAGAACAAACAGAGAAAGAAGCAAAGAGAAAACCAAGCAGGCGTAGGTTTGTGGAGGAGAAGAATCAGTTTCTCATCTGCTGCCCTGCCTCACTACTGCTGTAGTTGGGTAGAATGGCTTGAAATAGAATGGCTATAAACCCCTCCACAGAAATACTCACAGTGCCTGAGCTGATACAAATACATTCAAGGGGGGGGGGGTGTAAAAGACCTAGCAGAGGTTGGGGGGTGGGGGCGGAGAAAGCAGATTAGAGGACAGGAACTCCAAGATGATTTGCATTCACTAATGTGCCATGTAGTCAACAGAAAATAATACAAATTTGACCATCCCAATGCAGTGCATATCCTGCATTGTTTGTCAATGTAATCACCACCTTACAAAGCTTGCAACCCTGGACTGAATCTAACACTCATAGTAGCTTCTGAATTTCTATTGCACTTGTTCATCATAATTATAGTAGTGATCTCTCTGTTGATAGATGAAGGCTCCAAAGTCATGGGAGTTCACACCATGAGATAACTTGAATGACTTGTGATATGTCAGTCAAAATAGCATCTTGGCCAAATTAATGCTCCCACCTACCTCTCAGGACAGCTAAAGGGGCACTGAGAAGGAAAACGAAGGCACAGAGGGCAGGTTTCCAGGCCAGTAACAGATTGGCTGCAGGCATCAGAATTTGATCCAGAGGGGCAAAATACTATGGAACATGCAGATGCAGAGCCCAGATTTGTGTTGTTGTCTTCTGCCTTAATCTGGACCAGTTTATCTGAGACATTCATATGAAATAATTCTCACCTACTGAGACTCATGGTTCTGTCTCACTCATCCGCTTCTATCAATAGAGGACATTAGCCATAAGACTTAGTAAAAGATTAGGAATATTTCTGGTTTCAAACTTGACTCTGCTGTAAACTCACTGGATGGATTTTTCTGTACCTTTGCCTCTCAGGTTCTGCCTAGTGCCCTCATTTGCTGCATGGGCATTAATAACACCAACATCAGATACCTGCTTAATATGAGCTCAAATAAAGTGTTCTTGCATTATTTTTGAAAATCAGATATGGGAGGAGGATTGCGAAAGATATCTGGGTTGCTAATAAGGGTAGAAAGGAAGATTATTTATCCATCAGGAATTCAATTCTTTATAGAATTTGGTATTGCCTCTTCACCTTCCAGCGTCACCTGCTTCAAGTTCCATGAACAATGATGAATGATCACATCAGGATTCCCAAAAAATACAGCATTTTATCCCAACCTGTTGATACAATGACTATCTGAAATTTTACACATTTCCTGAATTGGTCTTCTACAGAATGGCATTACAGAATGGCCAGATGCAAAGGAAGAGAGAGAGAAGGTCAGCAGGCATACCATGAGTAGACCTGATGTACTGCTAAGTAGTACAGTAGCAGGAATAATAGCGCACATTCTTTTAAAAATGTGCTTAAGATATAATTGAAGAGAAATTAGAAAAGAGGGGCACCTAGAGTCAACTACAGGACAATATATAAAAAGGAGGGGAGATGCTTGCTGACCTGGAAAGGCTCACACAAAACAGAGGAGAATGGAGACTTTTTGGGAGACCAATCTAGGGATTAAAATATGAAAAGAGCAACTTTTCTCACTAGTCTACAATAAGATACATGCCTTCTACATAATTCTTAAGAGTACAGGATGTAATCATCTGGATGTACTATCCTATCCCGTGTTATTTTGTGTGTGTAACCATGAGACAAAATTCATCAACGTTACCATTCTTAAGGCTTTACAGGCAGAAATATTGTCATGGCTTCTACATAGTGCACGTGATATGAACACAAGTCAGTTCAATGGTAAAACATATGTACTATTTGAACTACACTGGATGGAGTTCCCAAACTTCTTTTGATATATCTCCCAATTGTTCTTTTTCTCCTTTTCATATGGGAGGCTGGGTGTCAGCTTGCCTATTCTGATTTTGGATGCAGGAGCTCTAAATAATAATATTCTGCTGCATCCAAACCAGTCTCCAAGACCTGCCAAATGGTTAATCAGCCTTATAAGTTTTTTTTCTCATTCCTGCCTAAATTTGTCTAGTGGTCTGAACTAAACTTTAGTTGCATTCATTTAATCTGAAAGGGATCCGAGAAGCAAGAAATTAGGTGGAAACAGTTTTTTAGTACTGAGGGACTGTAGTGGCAGCATACGTTATTTGTGACTTTTTCTGAAAACTGTGAAATTTCCTCATTTCATTCTTTTTTACAAGTAGTTATATTTATTTATGAATGTCTGGCAATTGTGGACAAATGTGGCATTTAACAATACAAAACAACACAAACCTCTTCCACATCATTATCCAAAGCTATGATTTGCAGTGGAGATGTCAAGTTTTGATTATGTGAAATAGTTGTACCCACAGGGGAGGACTCTAAAATAAATCCTTCATATGTTGATTCAGTGAAGTAAGGTTTCTGATTGTTTTCATCCAGAACTTCAATATGCAGATTGGCAAAGGCAGGAAGTGGATGGCCATTGTCTTGTTCTGCCTATGAAAGCAAAATATGAATTTGTTACAATTCCCACTGCCACGTTTAATATTATTCATTCATTTATTTATTATGGCATTTATATAATGTTTAATGAAATAAAATAGCTAAGCAACTACAAATGAAAACATATGATACCACATACAAGGCAAAAACAGATTTTTAAAAAAAATTTAAAAGCACCTCAATAACAATATATGTATTGAGCAAGGGGAAGAATTCTTCCTAGCTGGGAAGTTCTGGTTGCATAAATATTTCATTACAAGGCCACACTCTGTACATCTTGGATTGTGTGGGGAAGAAGAATGCTCCAAAGCCTGAGTTCCACCAATTGGTCCCACCAGTGCCAACCAACAGCTTTCTATTGGTGGTTGTGGGTGATCATGGAACAAAGGAAAGGCTAATTGCCTTAGAGAGAGAACCAAAGAGTCAACAGCAGATGTCCAAGCCAGCGGAGCCTACTGGCAACGCCCTGAGGGCTCTTTTTATTGACTTAGCATGATTACACAGTATGTTATGAGAGAAACAGAAAGAATACTAGTTACCTAATTGTAACTAGGATTGGCTAAAATAACCCTTTGCTCTTATGCTCTACCTCAGTCTAAGTGAAAGGGTAGAAGAAGCAGCTACCCCACCTACTGGCAGCTGCCGCATCCTGCCAGGAGTGTACGCACTTCACTGAAACAGAATGCAGCTACAACCTTTAGGCAGGAGTTTCCCACAGGTGGTGGTCTCAACAATTATCATCAGTTGGTTTGAATTTTGTAAGCATGTTGGAATGTGTTATGACAGAGTTGCACTTCACTGGCTCATTTATGCTTCCAAAACAATCCTTTTAATTCTTCTTTAGCCTTATATTGCTCTAGAAGATAAAACAAGTTCTTTACCACTCCAGCACTCTTAAATATAATGGAAAATCAGAAGCTAAGCTCTGACTATCCTCTGAAGTTAAGATTGGGTTCTCAATGACAGCAGTAACCAGAGACTGGGGCAGATTTAGACTCCATCTGAATAGTAATTCTAACAGAGAAAAATAAAGAACTGCACTTTCAGACAGTGTTATAACAAGATTAAAACAGTCTTGCTATATCTCCTCCCATTCCAGTATTTTCCAGCCGTCCCTCTTCACAACCCTTCTTACCACCTGAAGCATCCTGATTTTCCTGCTCTTCTTTTCCTTCCTTCCTTAGGCTGCCAAAATTTTAGCTTCCCAAACCCAGACAAGCACATTTACATATTATTATTTGCTTATTATCAACATAATGTAGTAGGTGAGAAAAAGATTGTCTGTTACTCAACTAAAACTGCTAATTTCCTCAGTTTCAGGAAACATACTTCAGGCCAACTGAACAAATGCAGAAGATTTCTCACCTTTGAAGAAATATTATTGTGTTTTCAAATGCAATCCTGTAAAATTCTACTCAAAAGTACGGTAAGTATAACATAGTTTAATTGGGCCTGTTCCTAGTCAGATGGATATAATATGGTTTACAGCCTCAAAACCAAAGTGTCCCTGACAGGAGACCTTTATTTTTACCCTGTTCCCTCTCTCTGTGTTTCTTTACTTCACTCATAACCTAAATGCAGTTACAACATACAAAAAGCTACTATCCATCTATGGAAGAAAATTAAATTTCCTTCTCACATGCTTGGGTTATTCTAGCATTCATGGCTAAGTGATATCACTTTAACTCTCTAGTAGCCATATCACTTAGCATATCTCCACACAGGGTGTATCTCTTTGCCTTTAGTGCAGAGATTGGTGGTGCATTCTAACATTTCAAGTCACTAAGGCCTGAAATTGTGTTGGCACTCAGAACTGTAACTTTACTCATTGACTAAACACACTAAAAGGCAATAAGAGCTTTGCTGCTTGCAAAAACAAATGGGCAGGATAGTAACTTCATGTTCTGTCTCCTATCTCAGCTTCCATGGGATTAAATGCTTTAAAAAAGTGAAATTCCAGGCCAGCTGATAGTATGAACATCCAATAGCATGGCCTTTAATCCAGCTGAAACACAGCTAAGCAGACAATATGGCAACTGCACCTTCTACTTCTTTTTTCCCATTTTTTCTTCCCCTTCACCATGACCACTATACATACGTTCACTCGTCCTCTTCTTCCTTTTTGCTACATACCAGACTGAGAGTGTGATTACTCTGGGAAACAGATTGCAGCCTGGTGGAATCTATTTCCCGGTGATCACAAAGCACAGGGGGAAACACACTCCAGCCTGCCTCTGATCTGTGCTGAAGCGGAAACTTTATTGGTCCAGCTCTACGGCTTCTACTTTTTTGAGCCAGGTTGAAACAATTCCTCAGCAGACAGTAGGGTTGCTTTAATGGAGATCACTCCTGTTAAAGCAAGATTTTTGGTGCAATCATGAGCCTGCTTTTGCGGCCATCAAATCATATTGAGAATTAACTCAAAATTCTCTCTATGTGTGTGTGTTTACATGCACAGTACAGTACAGCTTAGCGGTGTTAATCCGTGCAGCAAAAATCGCTGCTATGCTATTTCATCGCTAAGCAATTTTAAAAAGCCCATAGAAACACATTAAAATGTGTTTAATGCGTTCCTATGGGCTTAAAAACTCACCTTATGTGAAAATCCTCCATGGGGTGGCCATTTTCGGGGCCTCTAAAGCGAGGCAAAACAGTGGGCGGCCATTTTGGAACTGCCAATCAGCTGTGCGAAAATGGGGACTTTGGGATGATCACGGGGAAGTGCTTCCTCACGATCATCCCAAAACCCCTGCCGATCAGCTGTGCGAAAAAGGGGGCTTTGGGATGATCGTGGGGAAGCGCTTCCCCGCGATCATCTCAAGAATGGGAGCTTTGCGATGATCACTTCCCACGATCATCGCAAAGTGAATTTTCCCCATAGGGGCCATCGCAAAGCGATCACTCTTGCAATGGCAAAAAGTCCATCGCAAAGCAATTTTGTCGTAAAATGGAGCGATCACTATGCGAGGCACCACTGTATATACAGATAAATGTAATTGAAGACAATGCTCATCAGGTAGTTGGGAATACACAGAAGTGTTGTTTCAACAGTGAGAAAAATTACCTGTAAAGATTTAAGAATTTTGCTGCCCATTAGCTCACCAAAAGGTACAGTGGTACCTTGACTTACGAAAATCCCTACTTACAAACATTTCAACTTGCAAACAGCTCCGGTCACAACTTTTTGCTTCAACTTGTGAACGGCGCTTCCACTTACGAACAGAAACAGACAGGGAAAAAAGGTGGGCAATTCAACTTTCTAACTGTAGGTGGTGCCGCGGCTGCTTCTTTGTGCTGCAGCTCTTTCGGCAGTTATAGGGTGTGTCACAGTTGGAGGCTTGGGAGAGCCTCCTGCTTCGGAGTGAGTGTGTGTGTGTCTGCAGGGAGGTAAGCTGCTGTTTTCTCCTTTAAAAAACTGTTCTGGGTGGGTTTTGGTGGCTCTGCATCGGAGTGAGTGTGTTTGGGTGTCTGCAGGGAAGGTTTGTTTCCATGCCTTGCTTCGGAGCGAGTGTGTGTATGTGTGTGTCTGTATTTTTGGAGTTTTTTTCCTTCTTAAACCTCAGCAGCGGAGGTGGCTCTAGTGTCTGTTTGTTTTTTGAGTTTTTTTGTTAAAGCCTCAGGAACGGAGCCCCTTCCAACTGGTCTTGCTGTGCTCTTTTTATTTTTTTTATTTTTTGTTATTTTTTTCCTCTGGGCAGCAGAAGGGGAAGCCATGGCTACTGACCAGAGTGAGGGAAGCTCTGGAGGAACTACTGACCGGAGTGAGGGAAGCTCTGGAGGAGCAGGAGGAGGTGGGCGGGCGGGCAGGCAGGCCAGTGCTTCCCGGCCGGGTCTCTGGCCCTAGCCCTGTTCACTTCAGCCAGCCTTTGAGGCTCGCGGGCAGGCCGGCCAGTGCTTCCCAGCCAGGTCTCTGGCCCTAGCCCTGTTCACTTCGGCCAGCCTTTGAGGCTCCGTTTCTCTCCTGGGTTTTGCTTTGTTTTTGCAGCCCCAGCGCATTCCTATGGGGCTTGCAGTGTTTTATTTTTTTTAATTTTGGGGGTATTTTTTTCTTCGGCTGGAACGGATTAATCGGTTTTCAATGCATTCCTATGGGAAATGGTGCTTCGACTTACAAACGTTTTGAGTTACGGATATAGATTAAGTTCATAAGGTTTGGACCACTGTAGCGACAAGAGTTTAGATGAAACCTCAAAATATATCCTGCTCTTGATGAGTCCTCTGCCTTGCTAACAAGGAGCCTCCTATCTGCTACTAAGTGACCGAAATAGAACTGTTGGCTATCTACAGATATTAATTTACTAATATTAATCCACTTTTGAAAAATAATGAACAACATAAACAAACAAACATCCCAGGATACTGTTATTCACTACGCCAACTTTCTTGCTTTGTGTTTCATGGTCTTAGCATTATGACAGGCATTTTTATTATTATAGATGTACATCATTTTTTTTCTCCAGAACAGTAAAAAAAAAAAAAGAAAGGAAAAAAGAACCAAAGAACCTCTCAGCAAGTCAGGAGATAAGCAATTTATCAAGTGCTTGAATGTAAATAGGGGCAAAAGGTATCTATGCCAAGTGACTCGAGGTTAGGATGGAATATATTTTCTGCCCTTCAAACATGACCTTGGGGAACTTCTGTTATTTAATGCTATCACCAGAAAGAAAAGTCTTCAATCAATATTCATCTGGCTGAACTTATACCAGTCTGCCTCTACTAATAAGATCAAACGCTGACAGAAGGGCAAAACAAAAGCTGCATATAAAAACTCTGTTGCATATTGAAGTGTGACAAAAAGTAATAAATAGTTTATAGCTGACCTCCATTTTCTAAAAGCTAATCTATATGTTATCAATTACATTATGTTAAATTTCATTTCAGACTAGACTCTGCATAAATCTTTGCTGAAGCAACTAATGGTATAGTAATAAAGGTTCTCTGGGTCTAAAATCTCAATAAGTTATCATTATGCTGGCTTCTCACCCACCTAATAT